GATGCAAAGAAATAATTCACAACATTCGAAAATTTATAGAAAATGGAAAATTCAAAGCGTAAAATTGATAAATTGTAGATTTTATTGAATCGATATCAAGAAATTGTCTACTACACAACTTTACACAGTAAATCTTAATTTTAATAAGCAAATATAGAATGTATTCGTTTCAACAATTTATTGAATTTAATATATAAACTTTATTGAAACAAAGCGTTATTAAAAAAAAAAAAAAAAAAAAGACCAATTTATTTATATTTGCAATTAAAAATAGTTCGCACTAATAAGTTTTAATTCGTATTGTTTTTGCAATTAAAATAGTTCGCACTAATAAGCTTTAATTCGTATTGTTTGGCAAATTGGCGAGCTTCGAAATTATTTCTATTTGTTCCCTCAAGTATTTGAAATTCGATGCATGGAACTGGCTGTTCGTATAATAAAAACGTATATCTTTTGAAATTGAAAATTGTTTAATAATAATCTAACATTATATATTGTCATTATTGAAAATCTATAATTTCAAACCATACCGATGATAACCAGTTCCTGGTGGTGGATATGGTCCTTGGTAAGTATCAACGATAGTTGCATTGGACAAATTTGCATCAGCTAATTAAGGAATGTTTATAAGGATCATCATAAACTTATGAAAGAATTAAAGATTTAAATATAATTACATGGAATATTGCCAACGACCCAATGACAATATTCGCTTTGATTTGGGTTAGCGCGACTTGGAACATCAGGATCGACCTATAACAAAAGCGCTTAGATGCGGTAAAAAGCGGTGTAATTTACATAATTCAACAATATTACCATCAACAATGTAAATTTTGTATTGGGATTACAATCTCCAAGCACAAATTTAACATCAGGAGTATTTGCAGCTTCTATTTAAATAATAATTCAGTTAGCAAATCTGACACTACAGCACTAACAAAAAGCACTTTGATAATAACCATTAATTGTTAAAACGTTGCCATATTCTACATCCTTTTCACCGTATTTAATATCAAGCAATGCTTCGGGCTTGAAAACATTCACAACTTTATATCAATAGAATTTAATAATTGTAGCATTTAGCGAATTTTTAAAATGATAATAATGTATCTACATTCTATTTTGAAGTTTCTGCTACGATAACATTCAAAAAAAAAGTTGATAATACATGCCATCGGGAATAATTTGATCTTTTTTTAAAGCCGGAATAATTTTTTGTTCTTCCACAATAAGCATTCTGTCTAATAATATTAGTTGTGAATAATCCCGGATGAAACAAACAAATTAATCAGTTTTTATATTTTTATTTTTATAGGAAAACGTGTGAAAAAGCGATCTTAAAAGTTTAATATATAATAAAAAATTGTATTTAATTATAAATTAATTACCGTTACGCCCTAATATTTAAATTTATATATTAATTAGGGAGGTTTTTTATTTAAACCATCATTGTTTTATAGGTGATTCGAGAAATTAAGAAGAAATTTTATAATTAGTAAATAATTAAATCTTGAAGGGAACAAACAAAACATCAACACTAAAAGTAAAGATTATAGAACTATACTTTGACGTTTATTCAGGTACTTACTATGCATGGTAAGAACAGGGTTGATAGTAGTTATAATAAAAGCCAAAGCGATGATAAAGGTTAAGTAAAATTTTGATAACATTTTGAAGCAGATTTATTTTTTTTTAAAAAAAAAAGTCAAGAGAAAATTATTAGATAAAAAAAATGTATTAGCAATTTATGTACAGCAGACTTTTCTAAACAAAATTTGGAGAGTTAAAATCTATAAGTGTTGGGTATGCATTTTCTTTAATGTACGCAATTAGAGAGAATTTCACGTTTAGAGAGGTCTAACGTATTTATTCGGATAATATACGTAGTAAATATGTAGTGTCTAGTTTACAAAGTATGTACTGTATATATACGTAGAAGTATTAATTAGTTATTAAATTGATGTAATGTGCGATTGATACAGTCAGACTAAATGCTACCCCCCCTAAGTGCACGCCTATGAAAAACCTCCCTAAATGCACGTCTTATTCTGGGTATTGTGTCTATAGATTTTTACCTTCATAAATGCAATACCTCTCTAAATGCATGTTTTGCTAAATTTTTACATATGGTCCCGTCACATTGCATTTAGAGAGGTCTGACTTGTATATACTCATGATAATATAATTTTTACAAATTAAAATTAGTAAAAAAATATTATAATTTTTACAGTAAAGATCTTGTGCTATAAAACGCCTGGATCTCATGCTTCTGTTCCAAGTTTATAGTATTTTTTTAAACAATCATAAAAATTATAAGTTATGACCAAGGTTGTCACTCGATTGGTTTAGTCTACTTGCAGTTCAGTGGACTAGTTTGTTCAATAATAGTCTAGTCATGTGAAATAATATAGAAATAACAATACTATCCAAAGTAATGTTTTCATCATATAATAATCAATTCATTGTATAAAATTCAATTTGATTCAAACAATTCATTGTATAAAGAACAACTTATGTGTAATAAATGATTTATTGTGTAATGAACAACAAATAATTCAACTCTTTTAAAATTATAAAAAAAAACAATTTTTATTAGTAAATTTAAGATTTCATTGCATAATGAATGATTCATTATATAATGAACAATTTATTACATAATGTATACTTGCTATTATACTAATTGAATTAGACAAAATAAAAATAATTATCTGTAAAAGACTATCTGGTTATAACATAAATTAATAACTTGTAAAAAAAAAATAGGTTAGAATAAAATTAATATATAAAATAAAGTTTAAATTAAAGTTTAATAGAATTTTTAAAGACCAGTAAGATTTTTAGATCTTATAAATAAAATTTTATAATTAATTCACTTGAAATTAAAAAAAAATAGTAAAAAATCAGAGACAATATATTAATCAACTCTTCCCGTCGATCCTCTGACCACTTTTTTCCGAAAAGAAAACCTGACCTGCGAAAACACTTTTCTATTATACAGATAACAATATTCTTTCCTAAGTGTTCTACGACGTATTGTGGGCGAAT